AGCGTTGGGTTAGGGTTAGGGTTAGGATTAGGGTTAGGGTTAGTGTTATTGTGTTATGGTTAGGGTTATGGTTAGGTTTATGGTTGTCTTTGGGTTAGGGTTAGGGTTAGGGTTAGGGTTAGTGTTAAGTTTTGGGGTAGGTTTAGAGTTGGGTTAGGGTTAGGGTTATTGTTGGGTTAGGTTTAGGGTTAGGGTTATGGTTGGGTTAGGGTTGGTGTTGGGGTTGCGGTTCGGGTTGGGGTTGGGTTCCGTTTGGATTTGAGGTTAGGGCTATGTTAAGGGTTAGGGTTAGGTTTAGGTTTACAGTTAGGTTTATAGTTAGGTTTAGGGTTAGGTTTAGGTTTAGTGTTAGGGTTAGGGTTAGGATTAGGGGTAGTGTTTGGGTTAGGCTTAGCTTATGGTTAGGGTTAGGTTAATTTTCGGTTATGTTTAGGTTTACGGTTAAGGTTGGGTTAGGATTAGGTTTAGGGTTAGGTTTAAGGTTAGGGCTAGAGTTAGGGTTTTGGTTATGTTAGGGTTATGATTTGGGTTAGAGTTAGCGTTAGGTTTAGTGTTGGGTTAGGGTTAAGCTTAGGGTTAGGGTTAGGGTTAGTGTTGGTTTTCCTTAGGTTTAGGCTTAGGGTTAGTGTTGGGTATGTTTAGGGTTAGTGTTAGGGTTATGCTAAACGTTAGGTTTAGGGATAGTGTTAGGGCTAGAGTTGTGTTATGGTTAGGATTAGTTTAGTGTTAGGTTTAGGTTTAGGTTTGGGTTGGGTTAGATATACGGTTAGGGTTAGTGTTATGGTGAGTGTTAGGGTCAGGGTTAGGGTTAGGGTTAGGGTTATTGTTAGGTTTAGGGTCAAGGTTAGGGTTAGGGTCAGGGTTTAGATCTTGAGTTAGGTTTATCGTTAAATTTAGGGTAAATGTTGGGTTCAGGTTATGGTTATGGTTAGGGTTAGGGTTGGCTTAGGGTGGTGTTGTGTTAGGTATGCAGTTAGGGTTAGTGTTAAGGTGAGGGTTAGGGTAAGGGTTAGGGTAAGGGTTAGGTTTAGGGTTAGGGTTAGGGTTATTGTTAGGTTTAGGTTTAGGGTTAGGGTTAGGGTTAGGATTAGGGTTAGGATTAAGGTTGCTTCAGGTTTGTTGATGCTGTTAAGGTTGTGGTTGTGGTTGTGGTTGTCGTTATGTTTAGAGCAAGGGTTAAGGATAGGGTTAGGGTTAGGGTTTGGTTTAGATTTGGTTAGGGTTGTTTAGGGTAAGTGTTAGGGTTAGGTTTACGGGAAGGCTTAGGGTTAGTGTTAGGGTTAGGGTTACGATTGGGTTAGAGTTAGTGTTAGGTCACAGTTAGGGTTAGGTTTAGGGTTAGGGTTGGGTTTGGTTTAGGGTTTGGGTTAAGGATGGTTTAGGGTTAGGATTTGGTTTCAAATTAGGGTTAGGGATAGGCTTTTTGTTAGGTTTAGGGTTAAGGTTAATTTAGGGTTGGTTTGGGTTGGTCACGGTTAGGGTTAGGGTTAGGCTTAGGCTTAGGTTTAGGTTTAACGTTAGGTTTGGGTTTGGTTTACTGTTAGGGTTGTGGTACGGTTAGGGTTAGGGTTAGGGTTAGGGTTAGGGTTAGTTTTACGTCTATGGGAGGGTTAGGGTAGCGTTAGAGTTAGGCTACGGTTATCATTAGGGTTATGGATAGGGTTAGGGTTAGGGTTCTTGTTGGGTTAGGTTTAGGGTTAGTGTTAGGGTTAGGTTAGGGTTGTTGTTGGGGTTGAGTTTCGGGTTGGGGTTGGGATTGGATTTGGGTTTGAGGTTAGGGCTAGGTTAAGGGTTAGGGTTAGGTTTAGGGTTAAGGTTAGGGTTAGGTTTAGGGTAAAGGTTAGGGTTAGGGTTGCGTTAGTGTTAGGTTTAGGGTTAGGGTTATGGTTAGGGTTTGGTTTAGGTTTAGGTTTATGGTTAGGGTTGCATTAGGGATGGGGTTAGGGTTAGGGTTGTGGTTTTGGTTGGGGTTGGGGTTAGGGATAGGGCAAGGGTTAGGGATAGGGTTAGGGTTAGGGTTAGATTTGGTTAGTGTTTGTTAGGTTAAGTGTTAGTGTTAGTTTTACCGGTAGGCTTAGGTTTAGGGTTAGGTTTAGGGTTAGTGTTGGTTTGGGCTAGTGTTAGGGTTATGGTTAGCATTATTTTATAGTTAGGTTTAGGGTTAGGGGTTAGGGTTAGGGATAGGGATAGGGTTAGGGTTCAATTAGTGTTAGGGTTAGGGTCAGGGTTAGGGTTAGGGTTAGGGTGAGGATCAGGGTCAGAGTCAGGGTTAGGGCTAGTGTTAGAGTTAGGGTTAGGGTTAGGTTTAGGGTTAGGGTTGTGTTAGTGTTAGGGATAGGGTTAGTGTTAGGGTTGGGTTAGGCTTAGGGTTATGGTTAGCCTTAGGATTAGGGTTACGGTTTGGGTTAGTATTAGGGTTAGGGTTGGGTTAGGGTAAGGCTTAGGGTTAGGGTTAGGGTTCGAGTTAGGGTTAGGATTAGGGGTTAGCTTTAGGGTTAGGGTTGGCTTACGGTTAGGGTTAGGGTTAGGGTTAGCGTTAGGCTTAGGGCTAATGTTAGGATTACAGATAGGATAAGGTTTAGTGTTAGGGTTAGGGTTGTGTTAGGTTTCATTGTTTGGGTTAGGGTGAGGGTTAGGCTTTGGTTTAGGGTCAGGGTTAGGGTTAGGTTTAGGGTTAGGTTTAGGGTTAGGGTTAGGGTTAGGGTTAGGGTTAGGGTTAGGTTTAGTGTTGGGTTAGTTTTAGGGTTAGGGTCAGGGTTAGGTTTTAGGGCTAGAATTAGGGTTAAGTTTAAGTTTAGGGTATATGTTGTTTTCACGTTAGGGTTAGGGTTAGGTTTAGGTTTAGGTTTGGGTTGGTTTAGGTTTACGTTTAGGGTTAGTGTTATAGTGTTAGGTTCAGGGTTAGGGTTAGGGTTAGTGTTAGCTCGAGGGTGAGGTTTAGGATTAGGATTATGGTTAGGGTTAGGGTTACGTTTAGTGTTGGGTTAGGTGTATGGTTAGGCTTAGGGTTATGTTTAGGGTAAATGTTTGGTTAAGGTTAGACTTAGGGTTAGGGTTAATTTTAGGGTTGGGTTTTGTAATTTTTACGGTTAGAGTTAGTGTTATGGTTTGTGTTAGCGTCAGGGTTAGGGTTAGCGTTAGGGTTAGTGTTAGGTTTAGGGTTAGGTTTAGGGTTAGGGTTAGGGTTAAGGTTAGGGTTAGGTTTACGTTTAGTTTTGGGTTAGGTGTAGGTTTAGGGTTAGTGTTACGTTTAGGGTTAGGGTTAGTTTAGGGTAGGGTTAGGGTGTGGGTAAGGGTTACGGTTAGGATTAGGGTTAGGGTGAGTGTTAGGGTAAATGTTGGGTTAAGGTTAGGGTTAGGGTTAGGGTTAGGTTTAGGGTTAGGTTTTGGGGTAGGTTTAGAGTTCGGTTAGGGTTGGGTTAGGTTTAGGGTTAGGGTTATCGTTGGGTTCGGGTTGGTGTTGGGGTTGCGGTTCGGGTTGGGGTTGGGTTCGTTTTGGATTTGAGGTTAGGGCTAGGTTAAGGGTTAGGGTTAAGTTTAGGTTTACAGTTAGGTTTAGAGTTAGGTTTAGGGTTAGGTTTAGGTTTAGTGTTAGGGTTAGGGTTAGGATTAGGGGTAGTGTTTGGGTTAGGCTTAGCTTATGGTTAAGGTTAGGTTTAGTTTTCGGTTACGTTTAGGTTTACGGTTAAGGTTGGGTTAGGATTAGGTTTAGGGTTAGGTTTAAGGTTAGGGTTAGAGTTAGGGTTTGGGTTACGTTAGGGTTATGGTTTGGGTTAGAATTAGGGTTAGGTTTAGGGTTGGTTTAGGGTTAAGCTTAGGGTTAGGGTTAGGGTTAGCGTTGGTTTGCGTTAGGTTTAGGGTTAGGGTTAGTGTTGGGTAAGTTGAGGGTTAGTGTTAGGGTTACGCTAAATATTAGGTTTAAGGATAGTGTTAGGGCTAGAGTTGTGTTAGGGTTAGGATTAGCTTAGGGTTAGGTTTAGGTTTAGGGTTGGGTTGGGTTAGGTATACGGTTAGGGTTAGTGTTATGGTGAGTGTTAGGGTCAGACTTAGGGTTAGGGTTAGGGTTATTGTTAGGTTTAGGGTCAGGGTTAGGGTTAGGGTCAGGGTTTAGATCTTGATTTAGGGTTAGGGTTAAATTTAGGGTAAATGTTGGGTTAAGGTTATGGTTATGGTTAGGGTTAGGGTTGGCTTAGGATGGTGTTGTGTTAGGTATACGGTTAGGGTTAGTGTTATGGTGAGTGTTAGAGTAAGGGTTAGGGTTAGGGTTAGGGTTATTGTTAGGTTTAGGTTTAGGGTTAGGGTTAGGGTTAGGATTAGGGTTAAGGTTGCTTCAGGTTTTGGGATGCGGTTAAGGATGTGGTTGTGGTTTGGGTTGGTGTTAGGTTTAGAACAAGGGTTAGGGATGGGGTTAGGTTTAGGGTTTGGTTTAGATTTGGTTAGGGTTGTTTAGGGTAAGTGTTAGGGTTAGGTTTACGGGTCGGCTTAGGGTTAGTGTTAGGGTTAGTGTTACGGCTAGCGTTAGGGTTACGTTTGGGTTAGTTTTTGGGTTAGGTTAGGGTTAGGGTTAGGGTTAAGGTTAGGGCTAGTGTTAGAGTTAGGGTTAGGGTTAGGTTTAGGTTTAGGGTTGTGTTAGTGTTAGGGATAGGGTTAGTGTTAGGGTTGGGTTAGGGTTAGGGTTAGGGTTAGGGTTAGTGTTATTGGGTTATGGTTAGGTTTATGGTTGGGTTTTGGTTAGGGTTACGGTTAGGGTTAGGGTTAGGGTTATGTTTTGGTTGCGGTTTGGGTTAGGGTTAGTATTAGTTTTCAGGTTGTGTTAGTGTTAGGGTTAGGGCTAGGGTTAGGGTTATGTTTGGGTTAGGTTTTGGGTTAGGTTAGGTTTAGGGTTAGGGTTAAGGTTAGGGGTAGGGTTAGAGTTAGTGTTAGGGTTAGGGTATCATTAGTGTTAATGTTATGGTTCGGGTTATGGTTTGTCGTGAGTGTCTAGAGCACTCTGAACTCCGGGCAAGGTAAACACGCACGCCTTGTCGGGACACGGGGGGTACAGCGCTTGGAAAAGAAAGACAGGAGAGACACCTTTGCTGTCTGCACCGCGTTACACTGCACTGCACTGCACTGTACGCACAATCTTTATTTTAGGATTTATATATAGTAAACCCGATCAATTTACAGAGCCCAGATAATTAAGTAGTGAAAAGGCATTCTTTGTGGCAAGCTACAACGTGACAGACTACAATGTTTATTTTAAAACTATCTAAGTGAAGTAAATAATCACAACCAGTTCTCACAACTTCTCTAGCCCAGGAAGAAATTTATTAGCTCAAGAATGTTGTTAATTTGTCTGCTGTTAGTGTCACAAAGGGTGGCCAGCCACTTCCTCAAGACTTCTGCAAAACAAAGCCAGCTCACAGTATGGATTCCAGAGGGTGAGGGCTCACTGAGAACAGGCATTCCCGTTCTACCTCCTTCTCGCATACCAGGGCGGCTATTGTAAATTGCAGGTTAGAGGGGGTTGGGCCTACAAAGTGACACCTCATCCCCCACACTTCCTTCCTTTTTATTTTTTAACAACAATTTTCATAAGATCAGGTTATTAATAGCATTTCGTCTTATGCAGTAAAAATACACAAGAACTATGGCAATGAGAACTATAATTAAACTAAGTCCCATGCCACTAAAAGTGTGGGTAATGCTCTGCCAGATTTCTTTGGAATCTAATCCTTTCAAAGATTGAGCAAGCAATTGCGCGAATTGTGCTAGAGATTCATCATCATTTTGCTTTGCAAAATCCTTGTCAATTTGATTATGCAAAGATTCTATTTCCTCCTGGGCAGAGGTGTTTTTATTTAAATACATTCTAATCATTTCCCATTTAAGTTCTGTCTGATTATAAGGTCGTTGGGTTATACAGAAAGTAGTTGAATTCCAATCACATTTTAAAAACACTTGATGCTGAAGAGCCAATATTTTTCTACCCATCCATTTAACTGTTTGTTTAAGGAGGTTTATTTGTTGTTGTAGTCTGGCGTTTATTTGCCACTGAGTTAACCAAAGTTCATGAGAATTTTTATGCCATAATTCTACAACATGTTTTTCTTGCAAAGAGGTTTGTAAAGCTACTCCTGAGACTGCTGTTAGAGAGGCTACAGTTATCAGACTTAACAGTACAGCAACCACTATTCTAATAAATCTTTTTGTACGTTTTAACAGATGTTTAAAAAATTCAGTAGTAACAGAAATTACCGGGTCTTGAGACCAAGGTCGAGTTAAATTTACAGGCAACCAAATATGAGTTTTTTGTTGTAATAGCATAACTGTATAAGGCTTAGTGAAATTTAGTGTGCTATTTAAGCATGTAAACAATTGACAATTTAAACAAGTACAAGAAAAATGTGTAAAATTAAAAGTTCCCACTAAAAAGACATAAGGTAGAGGTGCACAAACAGTAATATTATACATTTTAAACCTAGTAAAATTATAAGTAGTAGATACAGATCGACTAGTCCCTGAATATGAAACATTGTACAAGGTTACAGGTTGCATAGCGGCTGGGATCTTCTAAATATGATTTTGAAGGTGATGAGGGTATTCTTCGGCTGCAACAGCAGGGTTAGCGATTCCACCATCTCCCCACCACAAGAGAGCCGTCTTTTGTTGAAATATAGGAGCTCCGTCAGTTATTTTCTTTGGATCTGGAAGACTATACACAACAGAGAGATTACATCTTGTCTCATTCCATTCAGCACATCCATTAACGAATTTTCCAAATGGTCCCCAAATAATATACCCATCAATATTTTTAGCAAATTTTCCCATACATAGTTGCCAAATTATGGGATTATAAGAAATATTTTTATAAGTGAATTTAGGGCATACAGGAAATGTATTTGTATCAGGTGCTGTTAAATTTTTTCAGGTAACATTAAAGGTTTGAGCAGCCAAGGCTTGAAGCCTTGTCCTTTTGTTGCCTGCTTTTATTCCATGTTGAATCCAATACTGCCATCCCAGAGGGATGCAAGGCGGTTTCCCAATGCAAATAGGCCTTTGATTACCATAATAAGTAAAATTGAATAATGTCCCATCATCTTGATTGTGGGGGGTTAAATCAGCCCACGGTGTTGACAAAATTTCTCTAGGTGTGGTATAAAGTAAAATATCACTAGTTCCCCATTTTATAGGTTCTAATAAAGGGGGGTTTGGAATATATGCCCGGTACGAATGCGGAGGTACCTCAGTCCCCGACGCAACAGTGAGCAAGGCACATAAAGCTAAAAACAAGTTTTCGGGGTTTAAAGGCTTTCCTGCTTGAAGGACAAGCCGTTGCCCTTCTATGGTCAATTTCTTTAATTGTCCCCATGTAGGGAGGGGATTTAAATTTGGTCGCTGTGAGCGGCGGGATTTTCTTAGCTGTAATCTGGCCATGGCTGCGATAGGAACAAACTCAGCATCCTCAGCTTCTAGCTGGTTTCGCGCTCGCTTCTGAAGGCACGGTTCCGGTTCTTTGGGGAGTTGTCTCCGGGGCTGGTGAACAGGATCTGGAGACGCGGGTCCTGATCCATCGTCCAGGGACCCACTGCTGAATTCCATTTTCTGTGGAGATATAACCAAAACCTTTCCCCCTATAGAGCAATGTGCCCCTCTCCCATTCAGCCTCTGGAGCTGTTTTAGTCCAAATAGGTTTATTAATCACAAAAGGCTGTTGTTGCTGTTCAAAATGTTTTTCAGCTCTTGTTAATATTTCACCTTGTGGTAAATTGAGAAAATTTAAAATAAACAATGCTTGATGCAGTAATGTTTTTGGACTGTTTTGCAATTTAAACAGTATTGGTATCTGAATATCCTCCTGACTCCTCCTTTTTAATTTTTTAATTTGTAACTTAAGAGTGTCATGTGCTCTTTTAACAATAGCTTGACCCTGGGGGTTATATTTAATCTCTGTAATATGAATAATATTATGGAGATCACAAAATTGTTTAAATGTTTTGCTAGTATAAGCAGGTCTATTATCTGTTTTGATTTTAGAAGGAATTTTTATAACTGTAAAAGTCTCCAATAAATGTATAATAACATTTTTAGTGGATTTTCCCTGTTGAGCAGTAGCCCATAGAAATGAAGAATAGGTATCAATAACTACATGTACATAAGAAAGCCGACCAAAAGAAGGTATATGTGTAATATCTATTTGTCATAATTTATTAGGTTGAGTTCCTCGAGGGTTGACACCTGTGGGAATAATTTTTAAATGTAATGGTCTATAAATAGGGCAGGCTTTTACAATCTGTTTAGCTTTTGTAAAAGGTATCTTATATTTAAGATGCAAATGTCCTGCATTTGCATGATTAAATTGATGTTTTTTAACGGGTGTGGTGAACATAACTAAGGAATCTACTGTATTGTTACCTGATATTAATGGTCTGGGTAACTGAGAATGAGAACGTAAATGAGTAATAAAATAAGAATGATTTTTTTTTTGAACATGTATTTGTAAATTTTGAAATAAAGACAATAAAGCAGGCTTATTAGAATATAACACAGCTGAATAGATATTTGTCACTACTCCAACAGAATAGGCCGAATCGGCTATAATATTAATAGGTTGGTTATGAAAATCTAAAAACACTTGTAATATAGCAAAAAGTTTATTTTGTTGTACAGAGTTAAAATTTGTCTGACGTACCCAGTAAGATTTTTGAGTCCAATATGCAGCTTTATTTTTAGATCTATCTGTAAATATAGTCAAAGCTTGTGGAATTGGCTGTATAGCTAATAAGGTATTAACCACAAATTGTTGACGTCTAAAAAAATCTCATAATTTACTTTTAGGAAAATGATATGAAAAAGTTTCCATGAAATCTGCTAAAGCAATTTGTAAGGTTTTAGTAATTGACAACAAATATTTTTATTGTTTTTTAGTTAAAGGGATAACTATATTGTTTATATCTTTTCCTATCAAAGTTATAGAACGAGCTCTACCATTTATAATTAAAGCTGCAACCATGTCAATATAAGGCATAACATTTTTAGATTGTTTAGTTTTAGTGAATACCCATTCTACTGGCATAGCATTTTGACCTAAAACTGCAGAGGGATATTGAAAAGTATTAATAATATATAAAGTTAGAGGCAATTTAGGATCAATCCTAATTAAAAATGTATCCTTAATTTGTTGTTCTATAAACTGTAATTTTTGCTCGGCTTTTGTTGTTAAAGAACGAGGGCTGGATGGATCTGAAGAGCCCTGTAGAGTAGCAAACAAATGCTGTAATGTATGGGTAGGAATACCTAGTGTGGGACGAAGCCAATTAATATCCCCTAATAATTTTTGAAAATCATTTAAAGTGGATAACTTATCTCTCCTAATAGACATTTTTTGTGGAATCACCTTTTGTCTAGTAAGAATATATCCCAAATAATGACTAACTTTTTTTTTTTGAATTTTATCCTGTGCTATTACAAGTCCAAACGGAGAAAAATATTGAGGTAAAGTTTTTAAAATATCTTTTAAAACATTTCTATCACTATATGAGAATAAAATATCATCCATGAAATGAGCCGTATAAACCTGAGGCCATCGTGCACGCACTGGTTTTAATGCTGCATCAACATAAATTTGACATATAGTTGGGGAATTTTTTATTTTTTGGGGTAAAGTCCTCCATTGATATCTTTGATAAGGTCTTTGATAATTTGTTTGAGGAATTGAAAAAGCAAACCGTTTTTTATCTTCTGGATGTAATGGGATGTTAAAAAAACAATCTTGTAAATCTATAACATATACAAACCAACCAGCAGGGAGCGCTGAGGGTAAAGGAATACCGGGCTGAAGGGCTCCCATTTGAATTAAGGATGAATTTACAGCACGTAAGTCCGTTAAAAGTCTCCACTTGTCTGATTTTTTTTTTATCACAAATATTGGAGAATTCCAAGGAGATGTGGATGGTTCTATGTGATGTAGAAAAAGCTGTTGATCAATCAATTCCTGCGCTGCCTGTAACTTTTGAGTAGTCATAGGCCACTGATCTATCCAAATTGGGTCATCATTTTTTTAATTAAGCTTTAAAGGATTCATTTCCCTAGGCTGTAGAAACATGCAAAATATTAAAAATGTATATAAGCTCCCCATTGTTTTAATACATCTCTTTCTAAAATAGAAACTGGTACCTCTAAGATATAAGGTTTAATAACAGCAACTTGACCCTCTTCATTTTTTATATGTATATGCATTGTGGCTTGTCCAATTGTATTTACTGGAGTTTTACTTACTCCTTTTGTATTACATGGAATAATAGTATAAGTAATATGAGAAGGCCAATCAGTAGGTTTAACAATAGTAATATCCGAGCCTGTATCTATAAGAGCCTGAATTTTCTTATGCTCAATAAAAATATTAATAAGAGGTTGTTGTTGAGATAATTTAGCTGTCCACATTACATTAATAGGGTTAGTGCTGCCGAACCCTCCTGTTCGCTGAACAACAGAGGATCCTATTGGGATATAAGGCAGTAAAATGAGTTGAGCTATACGTTCTCCCTTTAATAATTTATAATCTGTAAGTGAGGACATCAGAATTTGAATTTCTCCAGTATAGTCTGCATCTATAATTCCTAAGTGAACAGTAATGCCTTTTTGATTTAAACTAGATCTACCCGTGAGCAAGCCAAAAGTTCCCGCAGGCAGAGGACCAAAAATTCCTGTAGGAATTCTCACGGGAGATTGTCCTCCTCTTAATTTTACATCTTTTAAGGCTGGTATGTCCACTGCGGCACTGTGTTGGGTGGCTGGCTGTAGGGAGAATATGGTAGATTTACCCCATTGATTTGTCCGGGGCCCGGGGTAGGGCCCGTTCTCCCGTTTCCCTTTTGTTTAGCTGAATTAACTTGTTTACTCCTGCATTCACGAGCCCAATGATTTTCCTTCTTGCATTTTGGACATAAGCCAGGAGCTCTAGATCTCTTTTTTTGATCATTGCCTACAAGTTTTGGACAGGCCCTCTTTACATGTCCTATCTGACCACAATTAAAACATTTTAAAGACTGTTCCTTTTTAGATTGCCAATTAGTTCACGTGGTTGCCATGGTCTCAGCAAACAGTTGTATTTTCCTAGATTCTGAATTTAAATCTTTACATTGTTTTATAAAATTGTCAATCGTTCCAGTATCTTTTATTGGAATTAAAGCCCTTTTGCATTCATCATTAGCATTTTCAAAAGCTAACATTTTTAAGAGATGCTCTTGTAAGTCTTGTCCCACTACTGTTTTTTCTATAACATTTTGAAGTCTTGCAACGAACTCAACATACGGTTTATTGGCTCCTTGCAGAACTTTAGCCCAAGATCCATATTCTGATCCTTTAGGCCGTATTTTATCCCAAGCTTTTAAAGCAATATCTTTTAATTGAGCATGAATCTCTCTTGGAGCTCCTGCCTGATGCTCAACAGTATCAAAGAAACCTGTACCAGAGAGCATGGGATAAGAAAGGAGTCTAATATTCGGATCTCGATCGTCAGCATTTTGTCTTGCCTTTTCCGCACAACCTTCCATAAACCACATGTGCCACTGTAAATATTCTGGCTCCTTTAAAAGAATTTTGGCCAAGGCTTTTCAATCATAAGGAGCAAGATTACCATAGTGATCTGTTACCGATGTTATTAATTCTCTAGTGTAATGAGCCTGAGGGCCATAAAGGGTTACAGCCTTTTTTAATTTTGCTAAATCATCCATATTAAATGCTTCCCATCTAGGGGGAACTGCCTCTCCATCTATTGGCTGAGGTCTGATTACAGGGAAAGCAAAGGCAGGCTTTTCCTCATCAGAATCCCCTAATTTTGGTAAATCAGCCAAAGCTAGCTTGGCTTTACTCCAATTAGGGTTAGATGGAGGAGGTGCAGAGGGAACTACAGGCGGGTTCTGCTTAACGGAGAGTTGTTTCACCTCTTGTGTTAAATGCTGTATAGCCTGTAAAATTGGGCGATTGTCATAATTTGATATTGCTGCGGCAGCTAAAGCTGAGTCGGCTGTAGTGGATTTTACTTTTAGTTTGGACGCCTTTTCACTACTTAAAGCGATAGCGTCATTTTGAACTACATTCTGCTCCTCCTCTGTGAGGGGCAATTCCTGAATAACTGGCTTAATTTCTAGTTGAAGATTTTCTACAATATGTTCATCTTCCATAGCTTTTAATAAAGAGTACACAACCGACCAAATAGCCCAAAAACGTAAAGGAATCTTCTCCTCCTGTTGCATAGCCCTTTCTATACTAACCCTTGCCTTCCTCCATACTTCTACATCCAAAGTTCCTTCATCTGGAAACCAAGGATTATATTCTTTAATTGTATCAATACACATATCCAAGTCAGCTGACCTGAGCGATATGCCATATATAGATAATAAATGTTTAAGAATTTTTAAGAAAGGAGAGGAAGCAGATTGTCCCATTTCCCCGTAATAAAATTATACTTACCTTCCTAAGCGACCTTCGGAGTCCCTGAATTCGGGCGCCACTTGTCGTGAGTGTCTAGAGCACTCTGAACTCCGGGCAAGGTAAACACGCACGCCTTGTCGGGACACGGGGGGTACAGCGCTTGGAAAAGAAAGACAGGAGAGACACCTTTGCTGTCTGCACCGCGTTACACTGCACTGCACTGCACTGTACGCACAATCTTTATTTTAGGATTTATATATAGTAAACCCGATCAATTTACAGAGCCCAGATAATTAAGTAGTGAAAAGGCATTCTTTGTGGCAAGCTACAACGTGACAGACTACAATGTTTATTTTAAAACTATCTAAGTAAAGTAAATAATCACAACCAGTTCTCACAACTTCTCTAGCCCAGGAAAAAATTTATTAGCTCAAGAATGTTGTTAATTTGTCTGCTGTTAGTGTCACAAAGGGTGGCCAGCCACTTCCTCAAGACTTCTGCAAAACAAAGCCAGCTCACAGTATAGATTCCAGAGGGTGAGGGCTCACTGAAAACAGGCATTCCCGTTCTACCTCCTTCTCGCATACCAGGGCGGCTATTGTAAATTGCAGGTTAGAGGGGGTTGGGCCTACAAAGTGACACCTCATCCCCCACAATGGTTAGGCTTGGGTTTGGGGTTAGGGTTGTGGTTGTGGTTGACGATAGGTTTACGGCAAAGTTTAGGGATAGGGTTAGGGTTAGGGTACGGTTTAGATTTGGTTAGAGTTGGTTAGGGTAAGTGTTAAGCTTAGGTTTATGGGTAGGGTAGGGTTAGTGTTAGGATTAGGGTTAGGGTTGGGTTAGGGTTAGTGTTAGGGTTACAGTTAGCGTTAGGGTTAGGGCTAGATTTACGTTTAGGGTTAGGGTTGCGTTTCAGGTTAGGGTTAGGGTTAGGCTTTTGGTTAGATTTAAGTTTAGGGTTAATTTAGGGTTGGTTTCGGTTGGTTAGGGTTAGGGTTAGGCTTAGGCTTAGGCTTAGGTTTAGAGTTAGGGTTACATTTAGTGTTAGGTTTAGTGTCAGAGTTGTGTTACGGTTAGGGTTAGGGTTAGGGTTAGGTTTAGGACTATGGTAGGGTAAGGGTAGCGTTAAGGTTAGGGTACTCTTATCGTTAGGGTTATGGTTATGGTTAGGGTTAGCGTTCGTGTTGGGTTAGGTTTAGGGTTAGGGTTAGGGTTGTGTTAGGGTTGCTGTTGGGGTTGTGGTTCAGGTTGGGTTTTTTGTTGGGTTTGAGTTTTAGGTTAGGGTTAGGTTTAGGGTAAGGTTAGGGTTATGGATAGGGTTAGGGTTGGTTTAGTGTTAGGCTTTGGGATAGGTTTAGGGTTGGGTTAGTGTCTGGTTTGCGGTTGTGTTTCGGTTTGGGGTTGGCGTTGGGGTTTGGGTTAGGGTAAGTGCTAGGGTTAGGTTTGGTTAGGGTTGGTTAGGCTTAGTGTTACGGTTAGGGTTAGCATTAGGCTTAGGGTTAGCGTAAGGCTTAGGGTTAGGGTTACGGTTTGGGTTAGTGTTAGGGTTAGGGTTGTGTTAGGGCAAGTGTTAGGGTTAGGGTTAGGGTTCGAGTTAGGGTTAGGATTAGGGGTTAGGGTTAGGGTTAGGGTTGGGTTACGGTTAGGGTTAGGGTCAGGGTTAACGTTAGGCTTAGAGTTAGGGTTAGGATTAGAGATAGGATTAGGTTTAGTGTTAGTGTTAGGGTTAGGGTTGGGTTAGGTTTTATTGTTTGGGTAAGGGTTAGGGTTAGGCTTTGGGTTAGGGTCAGGGTTAGGGTTAGGGTTAGCGTTGGGTTAGGGTGAGGGTCAGGGTTAGGGTTAGTGTTAGATTTAGGGTTAGGATTGGGTTAGGGTTAGCCTTAGGGTTAGGGTTAGGTTTAGTGATGGTTAGGGTTGGTTAGGGGTAGGCTTAAGGTTAGGGTTACGGTTACATTTAGGTTTAGGTTGTTGTTAGGCTTAGGGTTAGGGTTAGGGTTAGGTTGAGGGTTATGTTTAAGTTTAGGTTTAGGGTTAGAGTTTGGGTTAGGGTAAGAATAGAATTAAGGTTGGGTTGGGTTAGGGATAGGGTTAAGTTTATGGTTAGCATTAGATTTAGGTGTTAGTGTTAGTGTTAGGGTTTGGGTTAGGGTTAGGTATAGGGTTGGGTTAGGTTTAGGGTTAGGGTTAGGCTTAGCATAAGGGTTAGTTTTAGGTTTAGGTTTAGAGTTAGGGTGAGGGTTTAGGGTTGGGTTTAGGGTTAGGGTTAGTGTTAGGGTTAGGGTTAGGTGTTAGGTTTAGAGTTAGGGTTAGGGTTGGGTTAGGGTTAGGCTTAGGGTTAGGGTTAGGTTTAGTGTTGGTTAGGGTTCTTTAGGGATAGGGTTAGGGTTAGGGTTACAGTTAAGTTTAGATTAGGTTTCAGGTTAGGCTTAGGGTTAGGGTTATGGTTGGGATTAGAGTTAAGGTTGGTTTGGGTTAGGGTTAGGGTTAGGTTTATGGTCATCATTAGGTTTAGGTGTTAGGGTTAGGGTTAGTGTTTGGGTTAGGATTAGGTATAGGGTTGGGTTCGGTTTCGGGTTAGGGTTAGGTTTAGGGTTGGGTTAGGTTTACAATTAAGGTTGGGTTAGGGTTAGGGTTAGGGTTAGTGTTAAGGTTAGGGTTAACGTTTGGTTTAGGGTTAGATTATGGTTAGGCTTAGAGTTAGGGTTAGGGTTACGTTTAGTGTTGGATTAGGTGTAAGTTTAGAGTTAGTGTTACGGTTATGGTTAGGGTTAGTTTAAGGTTAGGGTTAGAGTTGTGGTTAGGCTTTGGTTGGGGATAAGGGTTAGGGTTAGGGTTAGGGCTAGGGTTAGGATTAGGCTTAGGGTTTGAGGGTTAGGGTTAGTGTTAGTGTTAGGTTTAGGGTTAGGGTTAGGGTTAGGATTAGGGTTAAGGTTGCTTCAGGTTTTGGGATGCGGTTAAGGATGTGGTTGTGGTTGGGGTTGGCGTTAGGTTTAGAACAAGGGTTAGGGATGGGGTTAGGTTTAGGGTTTGGTTTAGATTTTGTTAGGGTTGTTTAGGGTAAGTGTTAGGGTTAGGTTTACGGGTCGGCTTAGGGTTAGTGTTAGGGTTAGTGTTACGGCTAGCGTTAGGGTTACGTTTGGGTTAGTTTTTGGGTTAGGTTAGGGTTAGGGTTAGGGTTAAGGTTAGGGGTAGGGTTAGAGTTAGTGTTAGGGTTAGGGTTTCATTAGTGTTAGTGTTATGGTTCGGGTTATGGTTAGGGTTGGGGTTGGGGTTAGGGTTGTGGTTGTGGTTGGCGATAGGTTTAGGGCAAGGTTTAGGGATAGGGTTAGGGCTAGGGTTCGGTTTAGATTTGGTTAGGGTTGGTTAGGGTAAGTGTTAGGCTTAGGTTTATGGGTAGGATAGGGTTAGTGTTAGGGTTAGGGTTAGGGTTGGGTTAGGGTTAGTGTTAGGGTTACAGTTAGGGTTAGGGTTAGGATTAGATTTACATTTAGGGTTAGGGTTGGGTTTCAGATTTGGGTTAGGGTTAGGCTTTTGGTTAGGTTTAAGTTTAGAGTTAATTTAGGGTTGGTTTCGGTTGGTTAGGGTTAGGGCTATGGTTAGGCTTAGGCTTAGCCTTAGGGTTAGGTTTAGTGTCAGGGTTGTGTTACAGTTAGGGTTAGGGTTAGGGTTAGGTTTAGGCCTATGGTAGGGTAAGGGTAGCGTTACGGTTAGGGTACTCTTATCGTTAGGGTTATGGTTATGGTTAAGGTTAGGGTTCGTGTTGGGTTAGGTTTAGGGTTAGGGTTAGGGTTGTGTTAGGGTTGCTGTTGGGGTTCGGGTTCAGGTTGGGGTTGGGGTTGGGTTTGGTTTTAAGGTTAGGGTTAGGTTTAGGGTTAGGGTTAGGGTTAGGGTTAGGGTAGGGTTATGGTTAGGGATATGGTTAGGGTTGGGTTAGTGTTAGGGTTAGAGATAGGTTTAGGTTTGGGTTAGGGTTGGGTTTGTGGTTGTGTTTCGGTTTGTGGTTGGCGTTTGGGTGTGGGTTAGGGTAAGTGCTAGGGTTAGGTTTAGGGTTAGGTTTAGGTTTGGTTAGGGTTGTTTATTCTTAGGGTTAGGGTTAGGCTTAGGGTTAGGGTTACGGTATGGGTTAGTGTTAGGGTTAGGGTTGGGTTAATGTAAGGGTGAGGGTCAGGGTTAGTGTTAGAGTTACGGTTAGGATTAGGGGTAAGGTTTGGGATTAGGGTTAGGGTTAGTTTTGGGTTAGGGTTAGGGTTAGGGTCAGGGTTAGCGTTAGCCTTAGGACTACGGTTAGGATTAGAGATAGGATTAGGTTTAGTGTTAGTGTTAGGGTTATGGTTGGGTTAGGTTTCATTGATTGGGTTAGGGTTAGGGTTAGGCTTTGTGTTAGGGTCAGGGTTAGGGTTAGGGTTAGCATTGGGTTAGGGTTAGGGTTAGGGTTAGTGTTAGGGTTAGGAGTTAGGTTTAGGGCTATGGGAGGGTTACGGTAGCGTTAGAGTTAGGCTACGGTTATCATTACGGTTATGGTTAGGTTCAGGGTTAGGTTTAGTTTTGGTTACGGTACGTTAGGGATAGGGTTAGGCTTACGGTTAGGTTTAGATTAGGGATCAGGTTAGGCTTAGGGTTAGGGTTAGGGTTGGTATTAGAGTTAAGATTGGTTTGGGTTAAGGTTAGGGTTAGGTTTATGGTCAGGATTAGGTTTAGGTGTTAGGGTTAGGGTTAATGTTTGGGTTAGGGTTAGGTATAGGGTTGGGTTCGGTTTCAGGTTAGAGTTAGGTTTAGGGTTGGCTTAGTTTTAGATTTAGGGTTGGGTTAGTATTAGGGTTCGGGTTATGGTTAGGGTTAGCGTTAATGTTAGGTTTAGCGTTTGGGTTAGGGTTAGATTAGGGTTAGGCTTAGAGTTAGATTGAGGGTTACGTTTAGTGTTCTGTTAGGTGTTGGCTCAGAGTTAGTGTTAGGGTTAGGGTTAGTTTAAGGTTAGGGTTAGAGTTGGGGTTAGGCTTGAGTGGGAGTAAGGGTTAGGGTTAGGGCTAGGGTTAGGGTTTGAGGGTTAGGGTTAGTGTTGGAGGGTTAGGGTAAAATTTAGGGTTAGGGCTCGGGTTAGGTGTAGCGTTGGTTTAGGGTTAGGTTTAGGTTAGGTTTAGGTTTAGGATCAGGGCTAGGGTTAGGATTAGTGTTGGGTTAGATTTAGGGTTTGGGTTAGGTTTACTGTTAGGATTAGGGTTAGGGGTTATGCTTATGGATAGGGTTAAGTTTAGTTTTGGATTAGGGTTAGGGTTCGCCTTGGGGTTAGCGTTAGGTTGAGGGTGAGGGTTAGGTGAGGCTTAGAATTGGTTTAGAGTTAGGGTGACGATTAGGGTTACGGTTAGGTTGAGGATCAGGGTCAGAGTCAGGGTTAGGGCTAGTGTTAGAGTTAGGGTTAGGGTTAGGTTTAGGTTTAGGGTTGTGTTAGTGTTAGGGATAGGGTTAGTGTTAGGGTTGGGTTAGGGTTAGGGTTAGGGTTAGGGTTAGTGTTATTGGGTTATGGTTAGGTTTATGGTTGGGTTTTGGTTAGGGTTACGGTTAGGGTTAGGGTTAGGGTTATGTTTTGGTTGCGGTTTGGGTTAGGGTTAGTATTAGTTTTCAGGTTGTGTT